TTCCCATACCGGGAGTTGAACCCGGGCCGCCTGGGTGAAAACCAGGAATCCTGACCGCTAGACCATATGGGACCTGACATGTGAATCTGAGAGCAGCAATCTGGAGTTTTCAATAGGTGCTATAACCAGCTCTTATTGTTGTGACTGGACCTATTTCTTGCAGACATCCCAAAAGGTGTTCAGTCATCCCTATGGTTTAACATTCCTGGTTGCCAGTTTCACATTCCAGTGCAGAGACAGATATACTGTAAATTAATAACTTATGATCTTCAAATGTTGCCTGTGATCTTAACTTATCTGCAAACAGTTATCAGGGCTTCACCTCAATGTGGGAAGTTCTGAATTCTACACACAGAGATGCTTGTTGTCATCCTAGCAGTTGAACTCACAGGACATGAGTGTGACTTCAGTAGATTTTGAAGGCAGTCTTGGGTTACACCCTAATCTATGAGGTCATATTGGAGTTCATTGTAATGACTACATTAAAGGTACCTGATAAGTGGTGCTACAGATCAACACCTCTGGTCCACATCATTCACTTAGAACTGAGGAAGCCTGTTGGTGGAAATGTCCCCAAGAGCCCAAAAAGAAGTCTTGTTGCCATAACCGGGATGGCTGAGACTCTATGCAGACCTTTAAGGCTTTCTGAGCTAGAATGTGTCTGTTCTAAAAACGTTGTGAGAAAGTCTTGCAAAATTCTAGTAAAGTTTTCTGCAGGAAGTTGTTTTTTTTTTTTTTAGTTCCTGGAACGTTATCTTCAAAGGAAACCTAATGTTCTCTAAAGACATAGTTACACCATTATGCTCTATCTTTAATGAAGGTCACATTGAGAACGTCCTCCCTTTGATATCATGCGTCATCGGGTACCAGTGCGCTAATGTTCTATAAAAGAACGTTCGATAATGTGTTGCCACAGCAACAGTATCAGATCATCCTCAGAACATTGCAGGTACATTGTTGTATCTTTGTTAATGTACCACAGGACAGGGACGACGTTTGTCATCGGAAAACTTGATAACACCTTGACATTTTCTTTTTGAACATGTTGGTTTGAGAATGTTCGTCCTTAGCTTTCCGAAAAATTATGACCATCTTTGATATTATTAATTAATAATTATTAATCCATGAGTCTAAAATGTCGTCTTTGAAACATTGTAAGAACTTGTAAGTAATTTTAGCCAGTGTTGTGGGAACGTTCCCTGCTATCCGGGGTGTCCATCTTGTATGTGCAGCGAATGGTTCCAACATGAAGCCTAACCTCAAGACGTGGTCGTTCTCTTCAGGAGCTGTTTCTGCCCTGACGATGACGGTGTCTCCGGTCGTCACTGTGTCCAGAGGAGAAGACGCTGTCCTCAACTGCTCCTTCACTCACGGACCGAAGGGCTATTCAGGGAAGATCACCGTCAAATGGCTGGCGAGAGATCCAAAAACCGAACCGTTCTTTAAATGTTCAGTTACAAATGACTCAATGGAAGCAGCCAATGAGTGTTCAGGGTCTGGATTAAAATACTCCCTGGATGGAGATCCTCGGCGGGGGCAGCTGTCACTCCTCATCAGGAAGGTAGAGCTGCTGGATAACGGCACTTTCTTCTGCCGAGTGGAGCTGGACAGGGGAAAGAATTCGGAAAAAAAGATTGATCTTTTTGTTGAACGTAAGTTCTCCTCAAGGTTTCAAGTAATAATAATAATTGATCAGATTTATGCAGCGCTTTTCTAGACACTCAAAGGTGCTTTACACTGTCAGTTATTCATTCTGGTGGTGGTAGCTACGACTGTAGCCACAGCTGCCCTGGGGCAGACTGACAGAGGCGTGGCTGCCATTCTGCCCCTCCGGCCCCTCTGACCACCACCTCAAACAATCCATTCATACGCATTCACACCAGGCAAGACGGGTGAAGTGCTTTGCCCAAGGACACAACGACCATGACACAGGTTACAGGGCGGAATAGAACCGCCGACCTCCCGATGGTTGACCGACCTGCTTCACCACCTGAGCCACAGCCGCCCACGTATCCTGAGGTTCAGTCTGTGTTCTTGCACCAACTTGAGGGTTCCCGTATTGTTAATAAAACGTATGTGGCAACATGTTTGGAGGGATTTAGAGCACAAGTTATAATTAAAATTTCTAAATGTTATAATTAAAATTTCAGAATGTTATGATTTGAATTCTGGAATGTTGTGATTTTAATTGTTGAATACTCTAATTTTGAGATGTTTTCATTTCTATTTTAGAATGCTGTGATTAGAATTTCCGAATGTTATGGTTTAATTTTTGTAATTAAATAATTTAAATTTTAAAATTTTGTGATTTGAATTTCAAAATTTTATTTAAATTTTATAATGTTATGATTTGAATTTCAAAATGTTGTGATTTGAATTTAGGAATGTTATTATTTAAGTTTCAGAATGTTACAATTCATTTTTGGAATGCTGTGATTTAAACTTTGGGATGTCATGAAAGTTTTTCAGTGCTTTGACGTAAATTTCAAAATGTTCTGATTTGAATTTCAGAACGTCACGATTAGAATTTCAGAATGTTATTTAAATTTAGGAATGTTAGATTCACATTTTTGAATATTTGATTCAAATTTTGAAATGCTATGACAATCACATTTCTGCATCATATTTTCAGTTTTCCAACCTACTGAGCACAAAATCACTGCACTGCTGCAGCTGAATCACATGACATCTCTTTTTTTTTCTCCATGATGTTTTGTTTTGCCAGTTGCACCACAGATTCCAAACCTGTCGGTGGTGGAGGCGCCCTGCGGCTCGGACAGCACCCCCCGGTCACTGAGGTGTGAAGTGGAGGGTCACCCGCTGCCTAAAGTTGTCTATCTGTCGGTCACCAAACGCTTGTTGGAGGTCCAGGTCCAGACCTTAGTGATTGGCCCGTACAGTCGGACCACCTGTATCCCCTACCTGCAGGAGCAGGAGGAGGAGGTTACCTGCAGGGCGGAGAGCAGGCTGGGCGAAGCAGAGAGGACGTATCCAACCACTAATCACCTGATGATCATTCTGACTGTGTGCGGCGTCGTCGTGCTGCTGCTGCTGCTGCTGTCGGCAGGAATCACCATCTACTGCCTGAGTGAGCTTCTCATACAAGTGCTGCTGAAGTCAGTCAGTGGATACGCAACATGGGCCACAGTTTTTGATTTCTGAAATGTTTGCATGTTTAAACTTCCCATGTTTCAGTTTGTCGGGTCTCAACTTTAATTAATTCGTATTATATATTACTGGAGGATTGAATCATAATATTTAAATCATTAAGTTATTTACATTGGTTGATGCTGTAGGCTCTGAGACATAATATTTCATTTATTCTGGTACAATAATAGTTTATTATATTGTTATTGTTCTTGACCATTACATTTAAGTTTTTCAGGTAACTGTGTGTAATATAAAGAAGTCTACCAGCTGGACAAATGTGACAGACAGCTGAGCTCGGCTAGTTAGCCTTTAGGAGGACGTTAAGCAGCTTTAGCTACTGCAGTATTGAGCCTGTAACAAATGAGATATTGGAAAATCTTTTTTTTTTTCTTGAATACAGAAAACAGTAAGAAAAAAGTAAATTATTAATACACCCAGAATATCTTCAACAACCGTTCTTCTGATTTTATTTTATTTTTTAGCTCATATGCTCATACCTAAGGAACACAAACTGAAGCTAAGATCAAGTGCAAGAACTATATGTAAGAGTTTATGTTTTTCCCCCTCAAAAAGGAATAAGCAGTTAACTTTTAGCAGGACTATGCTGGACTTTATTTAGCATTCAGATATTCTTACAAACAATTTTACACCAACCTGAGCAAAGGGATGACGTGAGATTGCTGTTGTGCTGACTGGGACTGACTTTAGTGTTGAATCTTCAAGTGTTGCTGTGTTTTTTAAAAATATATTTCAACTAATATTTTCTGCTTGTGTCTCATGTCGTTTGCATCAGAAACACGAAATCCTCCACCGCAGGACTCCGAGCCTCCAGCTGCCCGAGAGATTGAGACGGTTTATTCAGAGCTGACCATCGTCGAGCGTGAGTTCTGTCGGCTCGTACATGCACGAGTCATTATCAAGCACAGGATCTAAACTTAAAGCAGCAAGTCACAAATTACACAAAAGTTCACGACCCTGTTAAACTTCTCAGTTACAAGCAAACACCCTGCACTGAAGGAATAAGTCACTATTTCTGCATTTTCTTAATGCAGCCGGATGTGTGGAGCTGCTTTTGCAACAGATTAAATCAGTTTAACATCTGAGCAGATATGAAAGCATTTAGGGTGTTTCACAACGGAGAATGTTGTAATCTGCCCTTAGCAGAACATGTCGGAGACTATTTATCATTTTTAACGGGAAGTGGTGACTCTGCAGTTTTGGCTCTGTGCTGCTGATCAGAAGGTGTCAACCCTGCTTTACATCTAACCTCTATATGTGAAAACACAGTGAAATTAAAGTTAAATCTTCATCTACTGCTGATGTTTAAGTAATGTATGTAGCATCTCCAGTAACTTACTAATGAGAGCGGATAGAACACAAGTAAACACCAAGTCAGGAGAAAACAAGCTGCCATAGAACAAGTTCAAGTGTGATACGGTGTTGATGCCGACAGCAGGATGTGCGGGAGGTAACTGGAAATGTTTTGTTTTTTTTTCTTTTTCTTGTTTCAGTCTGTCAAGTGCAAAAGTGTTCAGTGAAGAGCTGCTCTTTAGTCTTTTCTTAAAGACTGAGAGGGAATCAGCAGATCGAACAGAGTTTGGTTGCTTGTTCCACCACGGAGGAGAAGCGTCGAGCTATCGACCTCGGCCCTGTTGTTGTGGTTGTATCAGGAGGCTTTTGTTGGTCGAGCGTAGTGAGTGGGAGGGAGTGTGGACCCGAATGAGAAAGTTCAAGTAGGAGGGAGCTGTTCTCGTTGTAGTTTTGTGGGTAAGTGTCAGAGTTTTCAGTTTGGTGCTGGCAGCAACTGGAAGCCAGTGAAGCGATCTGAACAGCGGGGTGACGTTGTGCTGTTTTTGGCTGGTTGAAAATCAGACGTGCTGCTGCATTCTGGATCATCTGCAGAGGTTTGACCGTGGATGTGGGGAGGCCTGCCAGTAAGGAGCTGCAGTAGTCAATGTGTGATATTATGAGAGCTTGGACCAGGAGTTGTGCTGCATGTTCAGACAGGAAAGGATCTGATCTTCCTGATGTTGTACAGGGCGAATGGACACGACCAAGCAACGGAGGCCACATGAGCCTTGAAGGTTAGTTGGTCATCAATCATGACGCCCAAGTTTCTGGCAGATTTTGTGGGTTGAATCAAGCTCGATGTTGATTCTTGTTGTAGAGAGGGACTGGTTGGGATGACAAGGAGCTCCGTCTAATAGAGGTTGAGTTGAAGGTGGCGTTTTTTCATCCATGCCGAGATATCTGCAAGGCATGATGAGATCCGAGCAGAGACTGTGTGGTCGTCTGGGGGAACGACGGGAAGAGCTGAGTATCATCAGCATAGCAACGGTATGAGAAACCACGGGTGTGGATTATTGCACCGAGTGAGGTTGTGTATACTGAGAAGAGAAGAGGACCGAGCACTGACCCTTGAGGAACCCCTCTGGATTGGTCGTGCAGTTCGGACACTTCTCCCCTTCAGGATACTCTGAAGTATCTCCCTGAGAGGTCGGACATAAACCAGCGGAGGGCAGATCCTGAGATGCCCAGCTCAGTGAGTGTGGAGACGAGCGTGTGGTGGTTGTCAAAGGCAGCTGACAGATGTAGCAGCAATAGAATGCAATGCTTCTGTTGCAGATAGGAGGGCAGTCTTGGTAGAGTGACCCCATTTAAAACCAGACTGACTCAGTTCACTCAAGCATTTTAAATAATACCGTATATACTTAATTAACTTTAGCTTTCCTGCACGGACTCTAACCAATGATTATTGAACCTTCATTTCTCCTCAAATCGATTGATTGGTCAGTAAAAATTCAGAATACTGTTCCCAAAAGAGGCACCTTTACAACAGTCCAAGCTTCAAAACAACTAAAAAATCTTTCAAATTAAAAGGAAAAGCCGAAGAATAATCAAATCTAAGAAGCTCACAGTATGAAATGTTTCAGGCATAAATTCTCAACTGACTGAAAGCCACCTCGCGCATAATTTTAAGTTTAATAACTGAAGCTGTCTGATAAACGTAGTGCAGCAGAATATTTAACAGCTCAGATTTATAAATGTTATTGTATGTAGTTACACTGGTTTGTTCCCAGTTTGTCCATCACACATGTTTTAATTGGATTTGCTTGCTGTGGGTTTGCTTGTGGTCATTTCGTGTAATTTTGCTGCTTCTTTTCATAGCTTAGCATCATTCTGCATCTCGTTTCAGTCATTTTTAGTTTATTTTGCAGCTCTCTGAGTTTTATTTTGGTTGTGTTCAGTGCCTCTGATCATTTTAAGTCTCTTTTTGGTCATTTTGTTTCGCATTTTGGTCCTTTTTTGCATTTTGGCAGGTTTTCAGTTTGACAGATTTCATTTAGGTTATTTTTTAAAATATTTTTCACTCAGTTACACGTCAAAAGTGCATCAGCGTGAACACTCTTGTAAAATGACTCGTGTCAGTGGAGCAGCTGTTTTCTCTTCTAATGAGACCTGTGTTGTTGTTTTTTTCAGTTCCACATGGGAACTCCGTTCAGCAGCGTGAAGAAGCAGGTGAGTGAGGCGACCAGGTGAACTCAACCTGTAGCAACAGTAGCAGGAAGCCACAAGAGGGCGCCAAAATCCTTCCTCATGTTCTCATGCAGCTACAATAAGTGTGTCTGTGTGATTGTATTCTGAATCCTGAGAATTAAAAGCTGAAGGTTGATTTAAAACAACACCTTCACTGTGTCCAAACATTTTGATATATTGGATGTAACGTTATAAATAATGAAGAAAAGCAACAAGCTGTCACGTTTGAGGCACTTCAATTTAGATAATATTTGACATTTGCTTTAAAAAAAACCACGTGAAGAAAGGAAAACCTGCCACAGTGGAGAAACTGGAAACTAAAGACTGCCATGATACACATGGTCCTTAAAGTGTATGTGAACTTCTGAATGTCTTTTAATGTCTGAACTGTTGTGATTTCAGGTGTCATTTATTCTTTGAGCGTCCACTGATGCAGGTATGAAAACTACTGGCCTAAATAACCCACTGATACATTTAAAAAAGGAAATAGTGATGATTAAACGACATTTCTAAGCGTGTTCTTTGTTTTCAGAAAGACGTCCTCTGACAGTTGAGCAGGTTTTTCTCAGGAAACTAAAACCCTTCACCGTCTGAAGAAAGATTTTCTTACTTTTTAGGAATTTTGTGTCTTACGTTGGTCATTTTTCATTTTCATCTCATTTAGGTTGTGTTGCACATGTTTGGGATTCGTTTGTGTAATTTTTGTTCTTATTGTAATTGTTTACCGTAATTCTTCATCTGTTTTGGGCTGATTTGCTCACATTGTGTCAAATTCTAGTCACCTGGCAGCTCTTCTTTTGTATCAGCTTTATTTCCTCTTATGTATCTCAGTTCCATCGTTTACATCACGTTGAGGTCATTTCATGTTTTATTTTGATAATTATTTGTCTCATTGTGGTTATTTGGTGCTTCATTCCAGTCGTTTTGTGTGTCTTTGTTGTCACTTTGTGCCATTTATTTTCCTATTTTAGTGATTTAGTGTCACTTTCTGTCTCTTTGACATTGTTTTTGGTGTCATTTTGAAAAGCTCTCTCTTGAACTTGTTGTTTCCTGGCTGCTGTGCCATGAAAGCTGTCTCTGGCTCCGTTGACCCTCTGTGGTCTGCTGAGCGGCTGCTGCTGTGGTGCACATGAGGCTTCACCTGTGGCCTGCAGACTCAGTCAGGAACTTTCAGAAGCTGCTGCAGGTTTCATCTTCACTTCATGCTGCTTCTTGTGTGGCTGTGTGGGTGTGTGTTTCCGCTGGTGTGTGTTTAACCACTTTGTGGCCACAGGATGTGGTTGTAAGTGTGAAGAACATGTTGCTGCGTCTCCATGGCGACAAACAACAATGCTAAAGAAATAACTGCTGTGGTGGACAGAAGCAGTTTCTGTTGCTCGGAGGTGTTTTTACACCTTTTGCTGCTGCAGCTCAGAGAACAGATTCTCACACGTCAGCTGCTTTAGGTCTCTCTTTACGAGACACAGAGCAGGTAACATAACCGGGAACCAATCTGACAAAATAGCTTTTTTTTGTTTCTTCAAACACGAGCTCCAATAGCCGACACGGAGCGAGTTTAGCTCATCAGAGCTTTTGATGAGACTTAAAATCTGATCAACAGAGAAATCTTTGACAAAATGACCCTCAGCACATTCATTAGCCTGAATGTAGAGTTTCTACACAGAAGGTAAAGCTTTTTTAATTTAGTGGCTTGTTTGCTCATCAGGGCTCCACACTGACCTCCAGCTGTGGACGAGATGTGTCTGTGCAGGCGGCCACATTACACCAGCAGTGTTTCAGTGGACGTGTTGTTGAATTTTACATCATGCTTCATTTGAACTGCATCATTTTTCAGCTTGTGTTGCTCATTCCACCTCATTTTGTATGTTTTGTGTGATTTTGCATTTTATTTTTGGAATAACGATCATTATCATTTTGTGTCTCACTTCAGTCACTGTTCCATTAATTCTGGCTGTTTAAATCTCTTTGTGGTTAATTTCTGTTGTGATTTTGGCTGGTTTTATGTCACTTTTCTTCTTCTTTTAGGTAATTTTTCATCTCTTTGTGGTCATTTTTTTTTCTTCATTTGAGTCATTTTACAATTCATTGTGGGGGTTTTTGTGCAATTTTGCATTATTTTAAGTTTTATTTTATTGATCCAGTGTCTAATTCTGGTTGTTTTGCGTCTCTTTGTAGTCGTGTTGTGTTATTTTGCTTCTCATGTGAGCAGTATTGCATCTTCTGTGATGATGTTTTGTGTCATTTTGGCTGGTCTTTGTAGTCATTTCCTCATTTTGCAGCTTCTGGTGACAGCTGTGAACAGATCTTGTTCGTCTTAGCTGAGCTGAACTTGAACGTCTTCCTGTTTTCCTTCATCCTGCATCTGCCGGCAGCTTCGGACGGCTGCTTGGACCCGAGCGGTGCCGGTGTTCGAGGGCATTGCAGCTGCAGCAGGCCTTTCCTCCTCTCGGTCTACAGTTTCTGAGGCTGCGGTCTGAATTATTGATGAGTTCTGAGAGTGTTTTAGTCAAAAATTCAGGAGACTCATGCAGCTGCTCAGCACAACAGATCACACTGTGAGATTTAATACATGCACGACACACATGAACAGATTTTTGATTCATCTTTGAGTCAAACGTTCCTCCTCCACGAAAACTTTTATTAAAAATCTCCAGATGTTTTTTTTTTTTCAATGAAATATTTCAAATAAATGCAAGTTATTTATTTTTACATGTTTATCTTGTTTTCTGTTTTGGTTATTTTTTAAAAATTCATTTAAATTAGTTTTTCAAATAGTTTTTCTGTTTTTTTAAAATCATGTTTTCTGTCTTGAGTTCTTTTTTAAATTTACAATTGTTTTAATATGTTTTTATCATATTTTGTCTTTTATTTAAAAATTGGAAATTTAAGTTATCTTGTTTTCTCATTTGATTTTATGTGTTTATTATGTTTTCTCTCTTCATTTTTAAAAATTTCTATTTCAAACTTATTTTATTTAGTTTTTCTTCATTCTTTTTGTTTCCATGTTTTCTGTCCTGATTTTTTATTTTAAAATATTTTTTCTTTTGATTTTCAGATTGTCTTTTCTTTCCAGTTGTTTTTTTAAAATCATGTTTTCTGTCCTGATTTTTTACATTTTATTTTACATTTATTTTATTTTATATTTTCATACCATCTCTGTTTTCTACCTGTTTTATAACATAATTGGATCTTATTTTTAAAACCAAGTTGCCTTCATCCACAAGCTTTGATTTCAAAAGAACATCAGATAAAGATGAAGTCTAATTATAGACATTTTGTGCTATTTTCATCATCAGACTCCTTGTGATTGTTTTGTCTCCTCTAAATGAGGCAGGTAAAATAAGGACTTTGTGTGTGTGTGTGTGTGTGTGTGTGTGCTGGAGCAGTGTATCCAGTGTGTATTGATGTGTTGTCACTGGAGTACACTGTGTGTTGAGTCTACTGCTGCTGCTGCTGCTGCTGCTGCAGTGTTTCCTGACAGAGACCACACCTCCATCAGCACTTAGAGCTCACACCGACTGTCTGCCTCCCACAGAGCTGCACACACGCCGCCTACACTTCAAAATAAAAGCCTCACTTCATGTTCTTCAGGTTCTTCAGTGCTCTACAGGGAAAAAACGTGAGATAAAGAATTCAGCAAAGTAAAATTAAATTCAGTAAATGACACACATCAGAAACAGTGCAGGCAAGTTGAATGAAGTACACATATGTTTTGTGGAATAATTAAAACTGACTAAAAAGACTTAAGAGGAAAAAAAACAAGCATGTAAGAGACGAAACAATAAAACTGAAGAAAGTGAGTCAAAGTTAAGTGAATAAAAACACAGATATGTTTTACACTGGAACTGAGTGAACACATAAAATAAGTGGGAAAACAATCACCAGTCTTCAGCGTTCTATTAATTATAACCACATTAGTGTTCGTCAGATGATATTTCACATGACTTTTAATTTGATTATAAATCTCAGTCAGACCCAGTAGAGGAGAGGTTACTGACTCAGGAACATCAGAGTTTAACTTTCTGTCAGAGCTGATAGAAAGAAATCGTTGCAAAATTCAAACTTCAGAAAACCACAAACATTTGTTCTATCAGCACCAATCAGAGATGTCTGAATCCTGTCATAGAGCTCAGCTACAAGATTCAACAAGATTCAGATTGACTGTGGAGACACAAAACATCCACAAAGACACACAAAACAACCATAAAACAACACAAAATGTCCACAAAGAGACACACAACCACCACAAAAATCACATATAATGCAATTTAATATCACAAAAAGCAACTTTTTTTTGGTTTGTTTGTTTTTTAAATTTCAGTATTGTTTAAAGGAAAAACATCGGGTGAAAAAAAAAAAGACAAATATTTGCAGATATGCAGTTTTTTTCATCATATGACTAAATATTTAGGTTTTGGTTGAACACAATATCCATGTGATACTATAGTATAATACAAGAAAATAGAATATATATTAAATAAATAATATAATATGCTATAATATAACTATTACACAACATATTATAATAGAATCTAAAATATCTGACTGTAATATCACAATATAATACAATAAAATATATAAGATAACATGATGCAACAATATAATATAATATGCTATGATATAATATAATACAATATAGTTTAATATGACATAATATAACAGAATATAATATAATATAATAT